CAGCCACATCCTATCAGCCTTCATTTACCACTCAATTAATCCTGTCAGGTGATAAATTCACTGATTGCATTAAGGCTCTTATAATCATTTCTTCTCTGAATCTTCTTCCATTGTCTCACATATGAAATTCTGGGGGACACCTCACATCCAAAACAACATTCTACCATTGTCCCCCTAAAGGTCACACTCTTCTGACAATCCAAAATACATTTAGTCCATTCCCAAGAGTCCCCATTGTTTCAACACTTCCAAAATTACTCAAAGTTCAAGGCCAAAGTCTTCTCTGAGGCTTAAAGCAATCTTGTAATGTGAGCTCCTATAAAATTAATAAAACAATTTACAATATCTAATATATAATTATACCCAGTAAATATTTCCATTCAGAAAAACGGGGACATAGAAAAAAAATGGATAGGACCAAAGCAAGACTAAACTCCAGCTGGGCAAACAAGTCCTGTAGCTCTGTATCTGGCATCTGGAGCACATGACATTATGATGTTCTCTATAAAGAACTTGTGCAGATGCCCCCTCTTGGCCTTGTTGTTTGCAGCCCAAGTGGCCTTTCTGATGGCTTGTCTCTACTCAATTCTTGCAGCTTTCCTATGATGATGTCCCCTGTTACTAGTATTTCTTAATCTCAGGGATCTCCACTGCAGCTTTGAATTTCTCTTCACATCTCCATGCTTTTCCCTCTCAGGAGCTACCAGAAGGGAATCCAACACTGCTACACCTTGCCTAGCCTCCCAGGCCTTCCTTAGAAATCCTGGTGGAAGCCTCCCATTACCCCATAACACTAATACAATGCATTCCTGCAGAACCAGCACTACATGGTTGATACCAAGGTCTGCCTTGATACTACAACCATTTCCCACTTCAGAACTATTGGAATTGTTATAATCAGCTTTTTCACTGCTGGGATTAAAAGTCTATGCCTCCAGGGATACTGGCTGCAGCAACCCCTGAGTTCCTGGGTGGCTGAGCATGTTGTAAAAACTTCCTAGTCCCCCTTGTGCAAGAAGGGTACCCAATTGGTCCATTCTCAAGAAAATTTTTACTTTTACTTTCTTGAATCTGAGATGGCTATAGTCTTGCCAGCTCCTGAGATGCCTTCAAGCCATCTTTCTCATTATCTTTGGGCAAAGTTTTTAGCATTTCTTAGAGGTGGTAATGTCTTTGAAAACTGCAACTTCCTTGGCCCCAGTTTTATTCTTGCATTTCAAGTCCAAGTTTTTCAAATCTTTCTGTGCTGCTTTCTGCTTCTGATTATCACAACAAATTTGGTTAAAAGCTGCCAGAAATATCCACGCCACCACCCAAATGTTATGCAGCCTAGACATTTCTTCTGCCAGATTAAGAAGTTCATCACTTTTAAAATCAGCTTCACAGAAAGTCTCAGGACAAGGGCAAAATGCAGACAACTTCTCAGCCATAACATAACACAAATGGCCTCTACTCCAAATTCCAATACAGTCCTCCTTTTCTCAACCTTTACTGTCCACAGTCCTTTTGGCATTCTGGTCTTCTGAGATCCCACCAGAATCAGGTATTAATCTCTGTTTCCAACAATATAAAGCATTTCCAGCTTGCACTGCTATACATCTAAAAATTCCTCCCACCAATTCCAAAGAGTTCCAGATGCTTATGAACCACATGGTCTGTATATTCACAAATATGAGCCCACTCCTGGTACCAATTTCTGTGTTAGTCAGGGTTCCCTAGAGGAACAGAATCAGTTGGAAGTATAATTGTAAAAAGGGGAATTATTAGATTGGCTTACACAACCAGAAACTCGATAGTCTGCAATGGCTGTCTGTAAGCTGCAGAGATGGAAGATCTAGTAGCTGCATAGTCCAAGACACTGACACCTCAGAACAAGAGGGATCAACAATGCTACCCTAGCCTGAGACCAAAGGCTTTTGGAAAGTCCTTGGAGAATCACTGGCTTTGGAAGAGGGAAGGAGTGAGTCTGATATCCTGAGGTGATCAAATCAGCAAATGAGAACTCATTCAAGAAGAATCCAACTTAAATCTGGTGCTGCTTCATTCTTCCTCCAACTTTCATTCCATCTAAGCCATCATCCTATTGGACAGTGCTACCCACACTTAGGGAGGAGCTCCAATTCAGTTCCCTATCCCACAAACAAATCATTCCTAAACACACCCTCATTTACATGCCCAGAAGACTCTTTGTGTGTGTGTGTGTGTGTGTGTGTTGCTGGAAACTGAACCCAGGGCCTTGTGCAAGCAAGACAAGCACTCTACCAACTGAGCTATATCCCCAGCCCACTCGGAAGCCTCTTAATCTTTGGCATCTCTTAATCCAATCACATTGACAATTCAAATTAACCATTATAGAATTATAGAAAATGTTTTTAATAAATTTAATTACTTATTAATATATTGTTTGAACTCAAGATTTACTTTTAAATGTGATCATCATCTCCCCTCAAAATGGGTGGATGAAGTTGATCAAAGCACACTGAACACATTGACTGGGTTCTTTGACACAAAGTTTTACCACTCTCTCAAGACACATAGTAAAGTTAAAGTATCCTATCAAAGACAATTTACTGTCATTTATAACTAAAAAGAACCAAAAAAATAAAATATAATAAATTAATATAAAATAAAAGGGTTCTTCAGACAACAGTGGGAAAGAGATCCATTTCAGCAGATATGCAATTCTCAATATAGAAATACAGGAAACATGAGAAATAAAGGAAAGAAGATGATTCAAAATTTGACAATAAACCAATAGATGAATCCACATATTCAAATGGATGAAATAAGAGACAAATAATTCAAAAAGTTGAGGGTTAAAATGAACAGTGAACTAAAAGAAATCTGAGCAATGAACTGAGATTATACATTAAGTAAAAGTTTACTTCAATAAGAAGAGATTCTGAAAAAAAATCCTAAAAGTGAAAGATTCAATACACCATTTAAAAAATTTAGTATAAAATACCACTAATAGATAAGAGCACATAGCAGGTAGATTTTTAGGCTTTTTAAGACAAGGTATGTGATCTTGAAAACTCAATCAGCAATAAAGACAAAAAGAAACCATGATCAGAATTTCAGGAAATATGGGACAACTTTAAAAGAAGAAAACCTAGGAATCATTTGAATTAAACAGTATTCTGAGATATAAGCTAAGGACATAGATACACTTTCCAGTGAAAGAATATAAGAAAATTTTCCAAACCTCAGGAATTTGACAGACATCCACATACTGGAGGCTTTCAGAAACAAAAATAAATAATGTAAAAAATTTAAAAATAAACAAATTTTCCATGATACTTTATAAACAAAATGCCTAATATACAGAGGAAAAATAGATTTTTGACAGCCCAAAAGTAAAACTTCATGTCACAGAGATAAGCCAATACGAATAATGGCTTATTTTCTGTCCCAGTGTACTTCTTTATTTTTGATCACCATGTGTTTTAGATAAATATTAAATTGTGTCTTTTTCCTGTTCATCAAACATATTTTATTCTCTTGCCTCTAAAACACCTCAAGAGTCTAGACAAAGCCAGGCATGGTGGTGCATTCTTGTAATCCCCATGGCTCAGGAGGCTGGGACAAGAGGTTCTCAAGTAGAAACCAGTCTCAGCAATGCAGCAAGGCCCTAAGGAACTTAATGAGACCCTGTCTCAAAATAAGAAATAAAAAGGAGCTGGAGATATGGTTCAGTGATTAACCCCTGGGGTCAATCCTGGTACTAAAAAAGAAAAAAGAAAAAAAACGAAAAAGTGTCTAGACCAAGAGCCCAGACATCCTGTATAATCACAAAAGCAGCCTCTGATAAACAACACAAACATCTTCCATTATATTAAATCTCAACAGTCAAAGCCATGAATACTTCTCTATATTTAGTAACACAAATCCTGAGTTAAATATCTACTTTGTAAGTTAGATTCACTTGGTTTTCTAAAAGGCATGCCTGGGTGATTTTAATAAAAATTCCCCTGCATCATAGAAAGAATAATGATTTAGAGTCATGAGAAGAAAATAATCTTTTGCAAGGCACAAAACAACAGATAGAAAGCTATCTTTCTTAAAAGCCTTGTATTTGGTCATTTCTATGCTTTGCACCTTAAGTTTTTATTCTTACTATTAAGAATGTAGGACCAGAAGTCAGGAAGCCTGGTTTTAATGTTAGTTTTACCATTTACATTATGGGAAAGACTGTCAGTATCTATGAGAGCTTGGGAGTCAGATAGGTTGAAATCAGTCTTGGGACTTTGTGAAATCTTTGAAAATTTACTTAACATCTTTTTGCAATCAAAACACTGTCTGATCTACATCCACCTTTCTCTCCCTAATGTCACATCACACTGCAGTATTCTCACTTTGCTCATTCATAATATCTCCTGCTTGACCCTCCAACCCACTGGGTACACTCTAAACTCAGAATCTTTACATATGATATTTCTCTTCCACAAAATTACTTTTCCTCCACAGTTTTACAGGTTATCCCATGAGTTCTTCAGGGCTATGTTGAAATATTTACATTCCTGTGAATCCTACCTTATTTAAAGGATTTAGAACTTTATCCCATTTTGCCTAATCCCAATATTCCTATCTTACTTCCCAGCTTTCAATTTTATATCACAGTAGCTAATATCATTGAATATTTTCCATATTTTACTTATTAATTTCTTATTGTCAGTCTCTTTTGATGAGAATGTAAGTTCCATAGTGCCAGGAACTGTCATCTTCTTTGTTTACTACTGGGTCCCCAGCACTTAAAATGCCTGGCATGTAGAAAATTTTCAATAAGTACTTACTTAACAAATTAATATACAATAAAATTATGAGATAGTTTTTATTGGTTCTTGGTAGCAAGATTTTTCGGCATGATTTCATTGTATTCATAGTGTTAGATCTTTTAAACTTTGAGACTGTGTGCAATGCTAACTGGTCTGTAAGTGCTCTGTTGCAGCAACAGCCATAACTACATATGAAAAGGGTTGATCAGAAACAAACTCACATACCCAGAGAAAAAATTTCCCAAAGCAGAACTCCAAAGGACCACACATCACTCTGGGTTGTATACACCTTGTCAAAAATGGCTTCAGGTGCCATCCACTTAAGTGGGAGTTTTGCCTAAAAAAAAAACAAGATAGAAGAAAACCCTCAGAATAGAGACTGTAACCCCATTAGAGGCAAGAGTAGTTGTCTGCTGTTTTGTGCCAGGGAACTTTGAACTTACATCTCCTTTCCAGACATAGTCAGGGTCTTTGTAGATGTCTCTGGCCAAACCAAAGTCACAGATCTTTACAACATTGTTATCAGCTAGAAGGATGTTCCTAGCAGCCAAGTCTCGATGAATGCACTAAAGAAAAAAGAAGAAGGTGGCTCTTAGGGCTTTGGGGCCCTAGGATGGTACAGATTAAAAGACTTTCAACCAAAAGAAAAAGAAAAAGAAAAAGGAGAAGTGGAAATTGAGCATGGAGTTGAAAACGAATGGGAAACCAGAAAAAGGAAGTTTCACAGAGGTGCCCAGCCCCAGAAAACAAAGTACCTTACACAGATAAATTGATCCATTTGGAAATTGGCAGGGTAGGCAGAATCTATAGAATGATAATACCTGTTTAACTCTTACATATTTTGTTCTTTGGACTCTCGTTGACTATCTTACCTTAGAAAAGATCCATTCTCTCCTACTGTATTTCACTGTTAGTGCCCTGAATTACAATAGATCTTATTTTCTCTCATTTGAACAACATCAATGGTCACTTAACTGTTCTCTCTGCTTTCATTCTAGCCACATGGACTAGTCCATCACCCATTCTAGCTATCAAAATTTAATTCCTAAGAAACAAATCTAATCATGTAAAATGCCTGTTTAGAAGCTTTTTATTTTACAGTAACTGGAAACCATTTAAGTTCATATTCCTTGGCATGGCATTCAAAACCTTTACAGTCTATGCCAAGCTTTGTATTCAGCTACATCTTCCTCCTGCCACATTTACCTCCTTGAATCCTATATACCTTAAACTTTTCATTTCTTTATTATACTGCTGAAATATAACTTTCTCTTAGAAACCTTCACAGATTCTCCAGGACTACTCCTATGTAATCACAAAGCATTTATTTCCTATTTCTATCCTAGACAATATCCTGTTATATTATATGTAGTATATCTTTCTTATTGGATTCTGAGGAAGGAGAACTGCATCTTTCATGTCTGTATCTCAGCTTTTAGCAGAAAGAACATTACAGACAATCACCACATATTTGCTGAATAAATTCATTTTCAGTATAAAATAATGTGCGTAATTAACAGGTCTAAATAATCCTAATCTAGCCACCTTCTAAATTAGTTTGAAAAGTAAGTCCCCCAAAACTGTAGGAAGGCAGGTGAGTAGCTGTCTCAAAGGTGAATGCATGTATGCATATTTTTTCAAAGACTAATTGGAGAGAGAAAATTGGAACACAAGCATAAGGTAAGACTATTAAAAAAGAAAAACAGCTACCATGGACACTGTGGTCATTATAATCCATCTTCCTTGCATCTCCAATCAATGGAAGTGAAGGAAAAAGAATAATGAATGCTCACTTTTCTGGAAGCAAGGAACTCCATTCCTTTGGCTACTTGGAAGCTATAGCAGATGAGGTCCTCTAAGGTAAGGGGATGCTTGAAGAGGTCATCTGAGAATAGGAAGAACAGAGAATATTACAGATGGCCAAGAGTTGAAGAATGTCCCATAATCCTGGATAGGTAATCATAAGGTAGAGGAAAGACACCTTATTTCCATGAAACCATAGAGAACAAGGGACAATTTTTTTTTGACAACAGGCCTTGGTATGACTTACTCCACTAGGATAATATGTGTGTTTTTAAGTAATTGATTCAAATCCTTGTGAAGGAAAAGAATCTAAAATTGTGTCTCCATTGATTTAACAGCTCATTCCTTGAATGTTCTGTTGAAAGTTCTTTTGAAAGACAGGTCTGTCTTTCAAAAAATAATAAGTGGTTTATTGTTATTCCCTTGCCTCTTCTGAGTACAAGAGAATGTAGATGATTTTTAGAGGCAAAGTTTGGGAATCTCCAGTAAATATCCATGATTAATGGTGACAACAGGACTGGATTTTTATAATCAGAATGTTTACTTGTCATGTATATTCCCTATTTATTGCTTGTTTGCCCTTCTCTTCATTTTTCTCAAAACATATAAAGTTCAAAGAAATTTCTTCTGCTCTTCCTGATGTTATGCCATCCCCAAAATATAATTAGAAGGTCCTTTATAATGATTCTAGACCAATTCCTTCCATCATTTCACAGGAAGGGAAACTGAGACCTATAAAAGAGATGTGGCTTCTTCAAGGTAATAAGACACAGATCAAAGGATTCTCAAGAAAGTGAAAATTACTTCATTTCTATAAGCCAGACAGATACTACAGATGAAGGTCTATTTCTGACCAACAGGACAATAAAAGAACATAGGATGAGTAAGAGCACAACCACCTTGGGAAGATCAGAAGTAGCACTTAATGTAATAGGCAGAAACCTCAGGTAGAACAAGAGTAATGTCACTCAAGGTCAATGCCTAAGTCTGACAGTTTTGACTGGAATGTTGGGTAAAATAAGAATAGGTGGGATGCCTGAGTTCAATTTGTTTTTTTATAAATATTTATTTATTCCATTTTGGAAAATCTATTATATATTTGTACAGCTCTAATAGTTGCTTATTCTTGAAATATTTTCACATTGCTTGGAAACAGCTATATCCCAAGATACCCAAGTTACTCCAACACTCCAGTTACTTCTTTCCTGTCCAAACTTTTCCATGATTCAGCAAATAAAGGGTATATCCCAGCCCATGGATACACTAGGTATCTATTTATATTAGTCTCTATTTTAGAAAATATCTTAATGTCTGTTAATCATATGTTGTGTTTCACACTAATATTTTGTAAAGTCATCCACATTATTTGTTAATAATTAAGTATATATTATACAGTTTGAGATGGAGTTAATATAGGTTAATATTTTTTATATCATCCCTACTTTGAGTAATAGTACTCCTCTGTTATGAGAATAAGCACCTCTAACCATGTCATGGGAAAGATGGAGGAAAACCTTCATGCAAAAATGATTTGGAAACTGTACATGTCTAAAACATTATGGGATATCATCATTATAAGATACTTCTGATTGCTAATTTAAGTGCAAGTTCAGCATACAGCAAAAGTCCTCCATGTTAGATAGAAATGGCTACAGAAAATGGTATGGGATTTTCTGGAGTTCCACTATTTAACTTTGCCTGGTCTTGCTGATTAGGCCTCATTTGCCCACTGACTCCTTACTTCCTACCCTCATTAGCCTTGAGGTTTTGCCATAAGGAAAGGGTCTACTTGTACTTACCTACATGGTGGGTTGTTGTGGCCCCCAGAAGGTAGCAGCTAGCTTCTTCCTCCTCATCAGATTCACTGTAACTCTTGTCTTCTATAAAACCAGAACTGATGGAACTTCCTGTGCTAGCCACATTCTGCAGATGATTCTTAGTTAGCTGAGTGAGATCACTATCAGAATCATGAATAGTCTTCACCTTTTTTCCCATATTGAGCTGGGACTGAGAATTTAAACAGATCATCAGTGTTTGAAGAGAACTTATGAATCATCCAATTCAATTTATTCTATTTTCATTAGAGAAGCTGAGAACCAGAGAGGTATAAGAGAGTTCTGTGAGTTCACATAATTTGAGAGCAAAGCTGAGAGTGATGACTGCTAATCTAAAATTCTATTACCTATATCAAAATGCCAGCTAGTTTATCCTTAGTGGGAGGAAATTGCTGAGAGTTGATCATCTGAGTATGTTACCTTGCCATGGAATTCAGCAGGCCTGCATAGGACAAGGATATCTCATAACCAGGAGTAGTTCAAATGGTGTCAAATTATCATTTTCCTATGCTCAGAAATTGGGCAAATAGAAGGGAGTCAGCTCTGTTTTAAAATTATGATTACTTCCTTTCCATTTGCTAAAGATAGACTGAGGTGGAACTCATTGATGAAAATAATAAATTGCTAGCTAAGTTCAGAGTTCCTAATCAGTTGGATGGATTCTAGAAGTTATTTTATTAATTAATACCCAATATCAAAAAATTTCAAAATAAATCACAACATAATGATCACGTACAACACTTTGCAGTACTTTGTGAAGTGGAGAAACCAGCTTTTCTCTGGGAAGACAAGGACAGTTGCAACATGTATATCTGGGGACAATAAAAAAGTGCTAACAGGAGATATATGTCTTTAACTATTTCCTTAATGGTGGAAGTTATCCAAAATATAGAGCTTCATCCCAGATTTCAAAGAAATAGAGAGATCCGGCATGTCTATGAAAGCCTAAAGGCATAATGGAATCTTGGCATACCTCACCAATTTGGGCCTCAGAATATAAGAGAATTACACACACAAAAGTTATAATTTCAGCTAATGACAGAATTCTGAGTGCCAGTTTCAAAGCAACATCAGTGGAAGTGATTCTAGAGGTAATTTAATTCAAATCTTTATTGGATGCATAAGTGTACATACTATTATTCCTGATTAATAATCCCCTAGCCTCTGCTATCCCCTTCTCCCTCTTTCTATGTATCATCATAAAATCTCCAGAGAAGACTCAAAACGTGGAATAGAGTGTGGGGTTCAGTTGGAGAAACCTACCTTGGAAGCAATAAAATCTCCTCTCTTCCCTCTCAGAAAATTAGCTAGGTTTCCATATTTGCAGAATTCTACTATGATCATCAAAGGACCTGCCAAAAGTAATATCTATAGTCATCTTTTCATGAAAGATAGTAAAAGGTAGCCAACTCTTGGGCTACTCTGACCTTGGTAACCTGTTGGACATGGAATATCCTAAAATTTCATTAACTCTCTTTAGTTGCAAACTAGTTGATGGATAAATTGAGCTGGATACAATGGTGACTGACCTCAAAAACATGCTGGCTGCTGAAAGATGAAAAAGTGAGATTGGCAAATAGGGGAAAATAAGGTTAATAATCCTGCTGAGCTTACCTGTGAAGTTCCCTAAGATGTACAGCATAAAATATGAAAGAATTAATAGGACAGTTTACACTCCAATGACCAAGGCAAATGTGAACACAACTCGTTGGATATTTTAGGCATTATATTACCTTTCCCACTTTATATATTGTTGTCCCAACCCCACCATCATTTTATTGATAAAATTCGTTTCTAAAAGGTTCACTCAATGGACTAAATTTTTCTGCAGTTTGCTCATGGCTTTCAAGTTTATTTGTGTTTGCCTTGATGTGTATTTTATTCATATTTATTTCAGCAGCACCGCTCTCCCCTAACATCCATAAGGAAGACCCTAGCTAAAATCAGTGGGTGCTTAGAAAATGCTGTTTGAAATAAAGGCAAGTGAAAGGACAGTGCAGTAGAATTGTCATAGGGGAAGAAACAAAATGTTTTAGATTTAGTGTAAAGAAGAAATATATAAATGGACAGGGCATGGAAATATGCTTGTTGAAAAAGTGGGTGAAACCCTCCTCAGGCTATGGTAGCAAGTACACTGAAGGTAAGATAGATGACTCAAGAAGTCTAGAAAGTACCATGTCTTGAACAGATTTTCACATTTCCTTGGCAAATTCTCTAACTATCCTGTCCAAGATCAGATACAATGTTGAGCTAGCAGGAATCTTAGACATAAACTCAATTTCTTTGTATATTGTACAGTCTTCGCTAGAGCAGGTGGCTGAGAACATGAGTTCTGGAGATCCTATGAAGTGTGATAAGTCTATAAGTTATAAGAACCTCACATGCAATTCAGGTAGTCATCTAAATCAGGGACTACCTTGCTTCTGAGCATATAACCTCTAGGAAAGAGATCTGTCTAGCTATGAAAGTCTTCTTACCTCCAGGCTTAGTGCAGGCACCCAGTAAGTTGACCACATTGAGGTGGTGACCAATGTGAATGAGGATCTTCAGCTCTGACATTAAAGCCTTGCACTCATTGGATGTTGCACAATCTGTTTGAGATAAACACAATAATCATACAAAAGGAATTTTTTTTGTCCCTAAGAGTAATGGTGGAGCATATGAAATACAACTTCCTGGTAAAGGAATTCTGGCAGAAAAGTCTGGAACACAACCACTCAGATGTTGGTTTGTCATCCTTTCCAAACAATATTTTAAACAAATAATATCTTTGTAGCATGTCCTAATTGGCCTCTACTCTGAGCTCTATGCAGTATTAGCCTCAATAACGTTTCTGATTTTTCATTTTGAAACAGGTACTCTTAGAATATAATCCTTTATGTGATAAACATTTTATCAATTACTGTACTATAAGAGGTAATGAGTTAATTGGCCCAGATTGTTCTAAATATTGATTTTTGTGGACATGTGGAATCAGAGGCATGGATTGGATAGTATTCAAATGTTTAGACACATGTTTATCCATTCAAGACTAAAAACACACCATAATTGATGCATCATGACCAGTGGAGAATTCACTTGGATTTCTATTCAAGTATATATGATACCATATAATTCCACTGATACATTGAGATTCTGATAGCCAAATACCATTAAGGACTTATACTGATGTTACCAGCAATTAAAAATATCAGGTTATAAACCAAATGCTGAATGTTTTCTTTGATATAAGGAAGCCGATTCATAGTGGGATAGGGAAGGGGAGCATGGGAGGAATAGACGAACTCTAGATAGGGCAGAGGGGAAGGAGGGGAAAGGAGGGGACATGGGGTAATTAATGATGGTTGAATGTGATGATCATTATTATCCAAAGTACATGTATAAGGACACAAATTGGTGTGAGTATACTCTGTATACAACCAGAGATATGAAAAATTGAGTTCTATATATGTAATGAGAGTTGTAATGCATTCCATTGTTATATATAAATAAAAAATATATATATCAGGTCATTACTTCTGCATTTAAGTTGTTGTATGCAAAGGAGATAAACAGGTTGTCATACAAGTTTCCACAATGACTGGTCATACTTATGTGGCTGCTATTTTTCATGAACATGAAGATGGAATGATGTTAGAAGCTGTATTTATTTACCTCCTTTACTTCCAGTTCATGTCTTTCACAGTACAGTTTTCTACCTGTCCCCAAAGTATACCTATAGATGTTCCTCAATGGCTTCCAAAGCATTAGAAATATTACCTTTTAGCATCTTCACTGCCACTGTTTTACAGGTTGAAGCTTTGTCGATGCCAAAGGCACAAGCTTCTATCACTTTACCAAAGGCACCATGGCCCAGGATTTTGCCTGAGGGGAACAAGAAGTAAAAATTAGCAATTGTGAAAGACCTCAGAAAAAAGTGCACATTTGAGTTCTTGTAACGAATACGAGCATCCCAAAGACAAAGCATTCACAGGGAGGTTTTGCAGACCACCCTATGTAAAATTATAATGCTGTTTTCCTCTATAACACTTAACTACTAGATAATATTATATTTATTTATCATTTATTGTTGTATCTATCTATTATTAATCTACCACACTAGAATGTAAGTTCAATGAAGACTTTCTTGTTAATAACTATATACTCAGCAGCTAGGATAATGTTTAATACATAGTAGATACCTAGCAAATATATGTGTATGAAGCAAGTGAATGAAAGGTTATACCACATCAGCCATGGAGACAAGGAACTTTGTGGGTTGAGGAAGATCCATAATGGCCTACAGACACATACTAGTTCAGTAGGTAAAAGTGTTATATACTTTTAAACGTTGTAAGTCTCCAAGTAATATACTTTATTAGTAATCACATTAGCTACTGGTATTCTGGATCTAAGTTTGAAGTCATTCAAGTGCAATTATTTATGGAAAAGACTCTGTGCTTCCTATAGCCCAAGAAATTTTTGTTAAAGAGATTCTAATGAAAACCAATCCCTATCATTTGTGAAGTACTTTAAATTTGTAAGACATATTGGCAAATGTTCTCACACTGAATTCCCACAAAAGTGATGGAATGTAAGAAAATACACATCAGTCCTAATGTCTCCCTTTTATGAGAAAAACATGTCTTACAGAAGTTAAGGGACTTCTCTTCTCTAAGATTACCTAGATTGTACATCTAAAATCTTTTAGTTGCATGTTATATGTACAATACAATTCTGCTACCCTAATTTCTAATTTTTGATTTGTTTACTATCACCACATTTGAAAAAAATATATCCAATTTTCTAGATGAATCATGAATGAGGTTGAATAGTGTTGCATACAATAATCTAAGTGAAACCTAGATTTTAGTGAAAGAAATTGGTACATACCCAACTGTAACCGGTCCCGAGGAAATTCCCATTTGCTGTCATCATAGGGAAGCCTGTCACATTGTTGATCAAGGGGCATTTCTCTAGGATCCACAATGATGGAAAGGTAGCTTGTTTTGATTTCTGAAACACTGGGCTGCAGAAAGTAAAGGGGAAAAACACCTTACTCTGTTTTATTTCTCTTCTCATGTGGTATAAGGCTTCTGAAGTTCACCATTTCACATCATAAGGAGTTTCATATAGTAAGAAATATGTACAAAAAATAAAGATAAGAAAAAGCACAATAAGAACACAATTAAAATAAAATTGACAATTTGGGAAAACAGTTGCAACAAACATAACATACAAGGAATAATACTCATGTAGGGCACAGATGGAAGGCAGAGCTGCGCGGGCACTCAGCCCAGACAGAAGGTGGAACAGAATGCAGAGACTTTGCTTGTGGGTCACCAGACTGAGCTCTGGACAAAGCACAAGGTCTCCTCAGCATCCCCCACCTCACCAAACACCCTATGCGAGAAACATATGGAATCCATTTTGGAAAACCTTACTCGCCATTAATCAGTGGGCGTGGCTACCAGCACGATTCTGCATCTGATCAGGTACCTGGTTTCCAATTACCCCACCCCCAGTTGTGATAACTCACAATTTTTCTCACAAGCTTTTGGGGCGTGTAGCTATCAATGCAGAACAGCAACTGTACAGGCACCTGATTTCCATCTCTGAGACTAAGAGTAGGGAGGCTCCAGGTGGAAGCTCAAATTCTCTCACACTGGCTACCTGACCACCCACAATGCAGAGACTCAAGCTAGAAATAGATAACTCCACATACTGGAAAAAAAGAAAACAGAGTTCTGAGAGACCTTTTTGTTTTTTCTTTTTGCTTTCTCTTCTTCTCTCTCTCTTCTCATCCATTCTCCTCTACCCTTCCCACTCTGGTCCTCTCAAACTCAACATATATGAAACCAAGAACTTTTCATGAAATAGGACTTTAAAACTGAATCACCAGAATAATATAATATAGAGGAATTGCATATGCCCCACCTCCCTCCCCTTTTTTTCTTCTTATTTTCTTTCCCCTCTCTCTTTTTTTCTTTCTTTCCTTGTTAATTTTTTCCTTCTTCCTCCCTCTACCCCACTTTCAGCCCCCTAACTTCTACTAGTTATATGTAGGGTAATTTTCTAAGTACAGATAGGAGTTTGAATTTATACATTCTTCCGTAAATTACCCCTTTCTATTCATTAGAGTTCTCCTCCAAAGTTGCTAAGTTAGATTAACCCCATACCCTCACTCCTTTCCCCCTGAACATAACATCCTATGTGTAACCTTTAGTTCTCTATATGCCATCATAAATGGTATGCCTTTTATGAAAATAATAACTATATTTTAAATAATAATTGAAGCCAACATCTGTAGACAGAGAGTCTAACTATAAATGTATTAATAATGAAAACTTGCGCATAGATGATGTACTATTGATATTGGGAACTTATAACTGTCTTTCTCCACAAAATAAAGATTTTGGAACTGTACAAGAGTAATATAAATATATAGGAGAAAAACATTAACAGTTACACAAAGCTGGAAAGAATGTGAGCAGTATGAAAAGACAAGTAAAGAAAGGACCACAAACAATGCAGGTCAATTCAACATTAGAAGAGGTAACATCTGCAGCAGAAGGAATGTCAGACAAAGATTTCAGGATATACATGCTTCAGATGATCCGGAGTCTCAAGGAAGACATTAGACAGCAAATTCAGACAATGAAAGATCACTTTGACAATGAATTACATAAACAAATCCAAAAAGCAAAAGATCAACTCTACAGGGAGATAGAGGTTATACAAAAAATAAAAAGAAAAACAAAAACAAAAATCCTGGAAATGAAGAAAATAATAAACCAAAACTCAAATGAGAGTATTACCAGCAGAATAGAACACTTAGAAGATAGAACATCAGATAACGAAGACAAAGTATATCATCTCAAAAAGAATGTATACAGCTCAGCAAGACTGATAATAAACAATTAGCAGAACATCCAAGAAATATGGGATAGCATAAAGAGACCAAATTTAAGAGTTATTGGGATACAGGAAGGTATAGAGGTCCAAACCAAAGGAATGAGCAATCTGTTCAATGAAATAATATTAGAAAACTCCTAGACTTGAAGAATGAAACAGAAATCCAAATCCTAGAAGCCTACAGGACGCCAAATGAGCAAAATCACAAGAGATCCACACCAAGACACATTATAATGAAGATGCCCAACATACAGAATAAGGAGGGAATTTTAAAAGCCACAAGAGAAAGGAAGCAGATTACATTTAGGGGTAAACCAATCAGGATCTGCACTGCTAGAAGGGAAGGCACATGGAAAGCACGAAAAAAAAGATGAGGGAAGAAAGTGCTCCAATCAAACCAAGATGATACAATAATAGATTCCCTTGACAGCACAGTAGATGAAATGTCAGAAAAGGACTTCCAAATATACATAACTAAAATACTCTGCTAATAAAACAATGACATAAGAGAGCAAATGCAGGCAATGATTGATAACAAAGAGATAAGAGAGTAAATACTTCTCTGTATATTTTAACAGTGAGAATCCCTAGAGGGAAGTTTTTTAAAAACCCCCAAACAAAGGAAGACTAAAACACAGCACATCAAAATGTGTGAGAGGCAGAAAAGACAGCACCAAGAGGGAATTTTATAGCAATGATTGTCTACGTTAAAAAAAAAAAAGATAGGAAAATACCAGATTAGAGGAACCCACTGCATGGTGGCTGCTTTCCAAGTGGAATGAAAGCATCAGTTCTGCAGCTGCATGAGGCAGGAAGGCTGTTGGAAAGTTCCCTAAAGCAACTTAGAGAGGAAGTAATCAGGAGAAACCCAGGAATATCCTGATAGAATAGAAAGAGAATTAATAGATTGTGTCAGTGCCAGGCAAGGAAAGCTCCCTGCCAATGAACTAAAAATTTCCCAATGAGTTTAATAAAGCAGACTCCACTGTCAAGCAAACTTCAACCTGAGAAGTAAAGAATCTCAGATACTACAAATTTAGATATTTCAGAAGAGGGCCCTGGCACTTAGAAGCAGATTTAGTTTAAGTGGGAAAAGAATGTCATTAAAGAATCCACATGGTTTACATCATGTCCAGGGGAGATTCAAAATCACTGCAGTTTTTCTTTTTCTGTTTTCTTTTCATCTGGTTGGTTTGATTTCTATTTGTATACTCACAAATGGCCACCTATGCTTTACTTCTCACTGGATTAATGGATAGTCAAGCCATGAGTCAATCTGTGTGCAAAAGTGAGACTATGGTAAAGACTTGGGGAAGCACTATGGGGTAATAGGAGCTGAAGCTGCCAGAATGCATATCTACAGTTTCATTTGTAATTTGTGGTATAAAATTTAAGGTAATGAGCAAGGATGAGAGGCAGTGAAAGTAGGTCATGTCTGGTTTGGGTAGTAAGCTGCTACCTGTAGCAATCAAACACAGGCCTAGCCAACTCCACATGATTAGAAGTTTCTGGGTAATCTTCTATTACATAATTAGGGCACATATCTCACAACTCCCCCCAGCATATATACTGAGGCTTTTGGAATGAGGTGTGATATGCATGTTGGATTATTCCACAGGCTCTTGAGAGTGCTTGACAGTGGCTATGACCAGAGCTACAATCCCAACACCAGATACCAAAACACAGAGATACTGAGAATAAAGTCTGCTCCAAAATGGAAAATGCTGCCCAAGAGTCTGCTGCCAGGCAGGGCTAGAGAGAGCTCAGCATACAGGCACTGCTAACAAGTTTGCCTGGTTTAGGTAAGTGCAGAGAACAAATATAAAGTAAGATAACTATTCCATAAACTTCTGCATGGTGGGGGGATTCTAAAATTGAAGCCATGGAAAAAAGTATCTCCCCTTTAAATAATTCACCAAGGAGAAAACTTAAACTTTTAATAATTGTTTTTGAATTAGCTATTTTGTATAAAATATTTTGTTGTGTCTTCTCTATTTGTTTTTTTTTTTCAGAGTTCTGGTTAATTTTACCCATTTCTTTGATTAATTAGATAAATTCTTGGTATCTCTTCTCTGCTTTCCCAACTCCATTCTCCTCCATTCTCTTTCATACTTCTCTTCCTCCTCATTTTATGTTGTTTCTTTCTTCCTCCATACTTTTTTCAGTCTTTTCTTTCATTTTCTTCCTTATTTCAATATAATTAAATATTAGGTATTGTTTTAGTTAGCCTTTTTCATTGCTATAATCAAAACACCTGAAAATAACAATTTTAGGGAGGTAAAGTTTATTTATCATTCCTGGTTTCAGAAGCCTCAGTTCATAGATGGCTGATTCCAAAACTCTAGGCCAAGGTGAGGCATAGCATCATAGTTAGAGAGTATGGAGGAGAAATTCAACACATGACAATCAGGAAGAAGATAGAGAGAATGAGTTCTCACCAGGGACAAAAAAATATACCGCAAGGGTATGTCTCCACTGACCCAGCAACCCAATCCACACATTCCCTGCATCCAGTTACCACCCAGTTAATCCTTATCAGTGAATTAATTCACTGATTCTTTTAAGGCTCACATAATCCAATCATTTCACCTCGGAATTGTATTTTCTCACACATGACCCTTTTAGAGATACTTCATATTTACAGCATAACATATATGTCATTAATGCCAAATTTTCACCCTATTCTATAATATTACTCACCCACATTCCTTCTTAGAAGAGTAGTGTAGATCATTAGTAATGCATTCATAAATATATGTTTGTTTACAATTTGTTATTAAGGGACCCATATTACTAGTGATTACATTCTCCTCACAGTCCAGTGCTGGTGGTAGAACTCAGCACTTTGATTATACTGATATTTTGATGCTAGGATATAACCCCAGTTCAGATAATATTTTAAAGAGCTAACTACTCACTAAAAGACCCTCACATAATAAGAGGAACCAATCATGACAGGTGCATAAACAACATAGAACTTCTGAAAGCATGAGGAATGAAGCCAACAAGACACCTCCAAAAGTTTATAAATCTACAATAATTGTATCCATGGATATTTATGTAGATAAAATGTTAGACAAATAATTCAACAAATTGATGGTTAAAATGATGGAT